TAATCATTTATATATGAACCTATATCCATAATCATTTATATATGAACCTATATCCATAATCATTTATATATGAACCTATATCCATAATCATTTATATACTGAACCTATATCCATAATCATTTATATATGAACCTATATCCATAATCATTTATATATGAACCTATATCCATAATCATTTATATATGAACCTATATCCATAATCATTTATATATGAACCTATATCTATAATCATTTATATATGAACCTATATCCATAATCATTTATATATGAACCTATATCCATAATCATTTATATATGAACCTATATCCATAATCATTTATATATGAACCTATATCCATAATCATTTATATATGAACCTATATCCATAATCATTTATATATGAACCTATATCCATAATCATTTATATACTGAACCTATATCTATAATAATTTATATATGAACCTATATCCATAATCATTTATATATGAACCTATATCCATAATCATTTATATATGAACCTATATCCATAATCATTTATATATGAACCTATATCCATAATCATTTATATATGAACCTATATCCATAATCATTTATATACTGAACCTATATCTATAATCATTTATATATGAACCTATATCCATAATCATTTATATATGAACCTATATCCATAATCATTTATATATGAACATATATCCATAATCATTTATATATGAACCTATATCCATAATCATTTATATATGAACCTATATCCATAATCATTTATATATGAACCTATATCCATAATCATTTATATATGAACCTATATCCATAATCATTTATATATGAACCTATATCCATAATCATTTATATATGAACCTATATCCATAATCAGATTCTCTGCAGATGTGTCCTTCCATCCATCCATCCATTTTCTTCCGCTTTATCCGTTGCCGGGTCGCGGGGGCAGCAGTCAAAGCAGAGACGCCCAGACTTCCCTATCCACACACACTTCCTCCAGCTCGTCCGGGGGGACCCCAAGGCGTTCCCAGGCCAGCTGAGAGACATAGTCCCTCCAGCGTGTCCTGGGTCTTCCGCGGGGCCTCCTCCCGGTGGGACGTGCCCGGAACACCTCCCCAGGGAGGCGTCCAGGAGGCATCCTGAACAGATGCCCGAGCCACCTCAACTGGTTCCTCTCGACGTGGAGAAGCAGCGGCTCTACTCCGAGCTCCTCCCGTGTGACGGAGCTCCTCACCTCATCTCTAAGGGAGCAGCCACTCTGCGGAGGAAGCTCATTTCGACCGCTTGTATCCGCGATCTCGTTCTTTCGGTCATTACCCAAAGCTCATGACCATAGGTGAGGGAGGGAACGAAGATTGACCGGTAAATCGAGAGCTTCGCCTTTCGGCTCAACTCCCTCTTTACCACAACGGTTCGATACAGCTCTGACTGCAGACGCTGCTCCCTCTTTACCACAACGGGCCGATACAGCGACCGCATCACTGCGCACGCTGCACCGATCCGCCTGTCAATCTCACGCTCCATTCTTCCCTCACTCGTGAACAAGACCCCGAGATACTTGAACTCCTCCACTTGAGGAAGGACCTCTCCACCCACCTGCAGAGGGCAAGGCACCTTTTTCCGGTCGAGCACCATGGCCTCGGATTTGGAGGTGCTGATTCTCATCCCAGCCGCTTCACACTCGGCTGCAAACCGTCCCAGTGCATGCTGCAGGTCCTGGTTCGTTGGAGCCAACAGGACAACATCGTCCGCAAACAGCAGAGATGAAATCCTGTGGTCTCCGAACCGGACCCCCTCCGACCCCTGGCTGTGCCTAGATATTCTGTCCATAAATACAGTGAACAGAACCGGTGACAAAGGGCAGCCCTGTCGGAGGCCAACATGCACCGGGAACAGGTCTGACTTACTGCCGGCAATGCGAACACAGCTCTGGCTCCGGTCATACAGGGATCGGATGGCCCTCAGCAGAGGACCCCGGACCCCGTACTCCCGGAGAACCCCCCAAAGGACACCCCGGGGAACACGGTCGAACGCCTTCTCCAAATCCACAAAGCACATGTGGACAGGTTGGGCGAACTCCCATGAACCCTCGAGTATCCGATGGAGAGTATAGAGCTGGTCCAGTGTTCCACGACCGGGACGAAAACCACACTGCTCCTCCTGGATCCGAGATTCGACCATCGGCCGTAGCCTCCTCTCCAGTACCTTGGAGTAGACCTTACCGGGGAGGCTGAGGAGTGTGATCCCACGATAATTGGAACACACCCTCCGGTCCCCCTTCTTGTAGAGAGGGACCACCACCCCGGTCTGCCACTCCATTGGCACCGCCCCCGATCGCCACGCGATGCTGCAGAGACGTGTCAGCCAAGACAGTCCTACAACATCCAGAGACTTTAGATAATCAGGGCGGATCTCATCCACACCCGGAGCCTTGCCACCATGGAGGCTACCAACCACCTTGGTGACCTCAGCCAGGGAGATGGATGTACCCGCCCCAACATCCTCAGCCTCTGCCTCTGTAACAGAGGACGTAACGGGGGGATTGAGGAGAACCTCAAAGTATTCCTTCCACCGCCCGACAATATCCCTAGTCGAGGTCAGCAGCTCTCCACCCGCACCGTACATGGTGTTGGCAAAGAACTGCTTCCCCCTCCTGAGGCGCTGGATGGTTTGCCAGAACCTCTTTGAGGCCGACCGATAGTCATGCTCCATGGACTCTCCGAACTCCTCCCAGTCCCGGGTTTGCCTCTGCAACAGCCCGGGCCGCGGCACGCTTGGCCTATAATATTTAATTAATGATAATAGCACTTCCGGGTTTACCGCGATCGCTTTTTTTGTGCATAAAAACATTATTTTTGTCATGAAAACGTAAACAGATCATTCAGAGAACCTCTGTGCATGTGTATTAATAATGTATATGTATAATGTGTTCTCTGATTAAGATTTAAATGTGTTGATTTATTGTTACGGAAACGTAGGTGTAGACCAATCAGAAAGGAAGGGGGAGGAGCTTGGGTCGTTTTTTTCAAATCATGTTCTGTACTAGCCTGGTCGTACCACACCATAGTACAAATGACATTTCATACTAAGGTCTGGATTTGCTCCATTGACTCCGTGAACAGGTGGGAGGGGTTAACTCCTTTTGCAGATTGAAACGATTGGATCTGAGTTTACCGTGACGTATGTAGTGCGCCCGAGTCTGTTGTTAGCATTTAGCCTAGCTTTAGCCATCTCCTTTGCCGCTAACGGAGCCCGTGGGGAGTAGTACCACAATCTTGACCAGAGAATACATTTGCTAAACCTTCCTCTTGCTCCTGCTTCAATTTCTTGATAGAACCAGACCGGATTACTTTACTATCGCATTCTTCGCCACTGCCAAACTACAACCTGCCAGTTCGGCGCAAACTCTTGACGTCACCGGCACCGACCTACAACGCGCTCTCTGAGTAGCCGGTTGAAAGCCAGTCATGCAGTGAAAGGATGATTGAACGCAGTGTACGGATGGATAAGGCCAGGCTGGGTCTGTACCTCTCTCTCTCTTTTTTTTCTGACAAACTCCAGACAATCACTTTAATAAATTATTCCTAAATGTGTTTGGGGTAAATTGTTTAGAAATTAGAAATACCATGTCACGGTAACATATTGGGCGGCACGGTGACTGAGTGGATAGCACTCTCGCTTCTCGTCAAGAAGGTTCTGGGTTTGAATCCCGGTCGGAACCTTTCTGTCTTCTGAAGGTGTTTACACTCAAAGGACTGAAAAAAACAAACATTATTATCCACCTGCATTCATACCATTATGTGACGTTTTCTCATGCATTGATTGTCCCAAAAGAAAGAGTCATGTTGTGGACAAAACAGACATTTATCTTTTGCAGATCTTAAACAAGTGTCCTCATACTTGATGAATTTAGAAAACCTTTGTTTGATGAAATGTTCACATGAGCCTGGTACAGTGACATCATCAGCGTGAACGGCCTGTTTAACCACAGTGTATAATGGATTGTGAGACGTGGAAGAAGTGGTAAACAGATGCATTCAAACAATTGTACGTCAAATGTTGTGTGTCGGGCAGAATACATAAGTCCACAGTCTGTGTACTCTGGAAACAGACAGTATGTTTGAGCTGTTGACATAGTGATCATGACATGTGAGCCAATCTATCGGAATCAAAAACAAACATCAAATCCTGCTAAAAAACAGAATGCTTTCAAACAATTATAGTTTTCTTTGTGTGCATTGAAAAACATGAAAATGTCACACAACAATAAGTGGATGGAAAGTGAAGCTCCAGTTCAGTGACAGTGGAGATGTCTCTGTAGATTCACCCACACGGGAATCCTGTCAATGTTGTTCACTGTGCGTTTTCTGTTTCTGATTTACAATCTGTCCAACAAAGAGCTCTCAGAAGACCATTGAGAACGAATACATCTGGAAAGAGTTACAAAAGTATCCCTAAAAGATCTCACTGTTCATCTGTCCACAATTTTACAAAATGTTTCTCCCAATACGACCTTTGTGTAAAGCTCACAGTCAGAATATGGCACGGCTCATTGAAGTTACGTAGAATCCTAGAATGTCAGCTAAAGACTGACAGAAGTCACTGGTACATTTTATCAACATCATTTTTGACAAATGTGAATTACACACAACACCTTTGAGAACACAGACACTATGTTTACAAAGCAAGTCTGTTTCCTCTGGTCTTACTATATACTTTTACCAGTTGAAAAGTAGTCCTTCTGAGACGGCATGGCCAATTAACTTATGAGAAGTATAAATATGGTCCACCTTTGCCTTAGCCCTGTCTTTCTAGTGTTGCTTTTTGATTTATGTGTACTTTATGTGTTTGATTTTTCACTTTCAGTTGTGCAGCATAATTAAACGCACCGTGTGTCCTGCTTTTGCCTCATGTAACAAAAGCAAAACAATAACACACATGCAGAGAAAATGACAAAAAAGCAGAAATAAATGATACACAGGCCCAACCCGTTTCAAAAAGAGTAATTCGTTGTTGTGTTGCATTTAAATAATCAGGAGGACAGGTCTGAGGACACAGGTCTGAGGACACAGGTCTGAGGACACAGGTCTGAGGACACAGGTCTGAGGACTCAGGAGAACAGGTCTGAGGACACAGGTCTGAGGACACATGAGAACAGGTCTGAGTACACTGGAGAACAGGTCTGAGGACACAGGTCTGAGGACACAGGTCTGAGGACACTGGAGAACAGGTCTGAGGACACAGGTCTGAGGACACAGGAGAACAGGTCTGAGGACACAGGTCTGAGGACACTGGAGAACAGGTCTGAGGACACAGGTCTGAGGACACAGGTCTGAGGACACTGGAGAACAGGTCTGAGGACACAGGTCTGAGGACACAGGAGAACAGGTCTGAGGACACAGGTCTGAGGACACAGGAGAACAGGTCTGAGGACACAGGTCTGAGGACACAGGAGAACAGGTCTGAGGACACAGGTCTGAGGACACAGGTCTGAGGACACAGGTCTGAGGACTCAGGTCTGAGGACACTGGAGAACAGGTCTGAGGACACAAGAGAACAGGTCTGAGGACACAGGTCTGAGGACACTGGAGAACAGGTCTGAGGACACTGGAGAACAGGTCTGAGGACACAGGTCTGAGGACACAGGAGAACAGGTCTGAGGACACAGGTCTGAGGACACTGGAGAACAGGTCTGAGGACACTGGAGAACAGGTCTGAGGACACAGGTCTGAGGACACTGGAGAACAGGTCTGAGGACACAGGTCTGAGGACACTGGAGAACAGGTCTGAGGACACAGGTCTGAGGACACAGGTCTGAGGACACAGGAGAACAGGTCTGAGGACACAGGTCTGAGGACACAGGAGAACAGGTCTGAGGACACTGGAGAACAGGTCTGAGGACACAGGTCTGAGGACACTGGAGAACAGGTCTGAGGACACAGGTCTGAGGACACTGGAGAACAGGTCTGAGGACACAGGTCTGAGGACACAGGTCTGAGGACACAGGTCTGAGGACACAGGAGAACAGGTCTGAGGACACAGGTCTGAGGACACTGGAGAACAGGTCTGAGGACACTGGAGAACAGGTCTGAGGACACAGGTCTGAGGACACAGGAGAACAGGTCTGAGGACACAGGTCTGAGGACACTGGAGAACAGGTCTGAGGACACTAGAGAACAGGTCTGAGGACACAGGTCTGAGGACACTGGAGAACAGGTCTGAGGACACAGGTCTGAGGACACTGGAGAACAGGTCTGAGGACACTGGAGAACAGGTCTGAGGACACAGGTCTGAGGACACTGGAGAACAGGTTTGAGGACACAGGTCTGAGGACACTGGAGACAGGTCTGAGGACAGGTGGAGGACACTGAGAACAGGTCTGAGGACACAGGTCTGAGGACACTGGAGAACAGGTCTGAGAGGACACTGGAGAAACAGGTTTGAGGACACAGGTCTGAGGACACTGGAGAACAGGTCTGAGGACACAGGTCTGAGGACACTGGAGAACAGGTCTGAGGACACAGGTCTGAGGACACTGGAGAACAGGTCTGAGGACACTCTGAGACACTGGAGAACAGGTTTGAGGACACAGGTCTGAGGACACTGGAGAACAGGTCTGAGGACACAGGTCTGAGGACACAGGAGAACAGGTCTGAGGACACAGGTCTGAGGACACTGGAGAACAGGTCTGAGGACACAGGTCTGAGGACACTGGAGAACAGGTTGAGGACACAGGTCTGAGGACACTGGAGAACAGGTCTGAGGACACAGGTCTGAGGACACTGGAGAACAGGTCTGAGGACACTGGAGAACAGGTCTGAGGACACAGGTCTGAGGACACAGGAGAACAGTCTGAGGACACAGGTCTGAGGACACAGAACAGGTCTGAGGACACAGGTCTGAGGACACAGGAGAACAGGTCTGAGGACACAGGTCTGAGGACACTGGAGAACAGGTCTGAGGACACAGGTCTGAGACACTGAGAACAGGTCTGAGGATACAGGTCTGAGGACACTGGAGAACAGGTCTGAGGACACAGGTCTGAGGACACAGGTCTGAGGACACAGGTCTGAGAACAGGTCTGAGGACACAGTCTGAGGACACTGGAGAACAGGTCTGAGGATACAGGTCTGAGGACACTGGAGAACAGTCTGAGGACCAGGTCTCTGAGGACACAGGTCTGAGGACACTGGAGAACAGGTCTGAGGACACAGGTCTGAGGACACAGGAGAACAGGTCTGAGGACACAGGTCTGAGGACACTGGAGAACAGGTCTGAGGACAGGTCTGAGGACACTGGAGAACAGGTCTGAGGACACAGGTCTGAGGACACAGGTCTGAGGACACAGGTCTGAGGACACAGGTCTGAGGACACTGGAGAACAGGTCTGAGGACACAGGTCTGAGGACACAGGTCTGAGGACACAGGTCTGAGGACACAGGTCTGAGGACACAGGTCTGAGGACACTGGAGAACAGGTCTGAGGACACAGGTCTGAGGACACAGGAGAACATGTCTGAGGACACAGGTCTGAGGACACAGGTCTGAGGACACAGGAGAACATGTCTGAGGACACAGGTCTGAGGACACAGGAGAACAGGTCTGAGGACACAGGTCTGAGGACACAGGAGAACATGTCTGAGGACACAGGTCTGAGGACACAGGAGAACATGTCTGAGGACACAGGTCTGAGGACACTGGAGAACAGATCTGAGGACACAGGTCTGAGGACACTGGTCTGAGGACACAGGTCTGAGGACACTGGAGAACAGGTCTGAGGACACAGGTCTGAGACACAGGTCTGAGGACACTGGAGAACAGATCTGAGGACACAGGTCTGAGGACACTGGTCTGAGGACACAGGTCTGAGGACACAGGAGAACATGTCTGAGGACACAGGTCTGAGGACACTGGAGAACAGGTCTGAGGACACAGGAGGACAGGTCTGAGGACACAGACACCAAACTGAATTTGTTGACATTTGTGAGTTGAATTATCTTTAGGAATTTGAATTCGAGCAGATCAAGTTTTTTGATAATCCATGTACAAATGTAATCAGGATAAAGCCGAGCGTACGTCGTACTGGCAGCTGATTATATCCGTGGCCTATGAGTTTCTGCCCCGCACATATCGACAATCTGACGAAAACGAGCAACTCCAGTATCAGACCAGTCTGAGGAATAACAGGTAACTCCTGTATCAGACCAGTCTGAGGAATAACAGGTAACTCCTGTATCAGACCAGTCTGAGGAATAACAGGTAACTCCTGTATCAGACCAGTCTGAGGAATAACAGGTAACTCCTGTATCAGACCAGTCTGAGGAATAACAGGTAACTCCTGTATCAGGCCAGTCTGAGGAATAACAGGTAACTCCTGTATCAGGTCAGTCTGAGGAATAACAGGTAACTCCTGTATCAGACCAGTCTGAGGAATAACAGGTAACTCCTGTATCAGACCAGTCTGAGGAATAACAGGTAACTCCTGTATCAGGTCAGTCTGAGGAATAACAGGTAACTCCTGTATCAGGTCAGTCTGAGGAATAACAGGTAACTCCTGTATCAGACAGTCTGGGAATAACAGGTAACTCCTGTATCAGTCAGTCTGAGGAATAACAGGTAACTCCTGTATCAGACCAGTCTGAGGAATAACAGGTAACTCCTGTATCAGACCAGTCTGAGGAATAACAGGTAACTCCTGTATCAGACCAGTCTGAGGAATAACAGGTAACTCCTGTATCAGACCAGTCTGAGGAATAACAGGTAACTCCTGTATCAGACCAGTCTGAGGAATAACAGGTAACTCCTGTATCAGGTCAGTCTGGGGAATAACAGGTAACTCCTGTATCAGACCAGTCTGAGGAATAACAGGTAACTCCTGTATCAGACCAGTCTGGGGAATAACAGGTAACTCCTGTATCAGACCAGTCTGAGGAATAACAGGTAACTCCTGTATCAGACCAGTCTGAGGAATAACAGGTAACTCCTGTATCAGACCAGTCTGAGGAATAACAGGTAACTCCAGTATCAGGTCAGTCTGGGGAATAACAGGTAACTCCTGTATCAGACCAGTCTGGGGAATAACAGGTAACTCCTGTATCAGGTCAGTCTGAGGAATAACAGGTAACTCCTGTATCAGACCAGTCTGGGGAATAACAGGTAACTCCTGTATCAGACCAGTCTGAGGAATAACAGGTAACTCCTGTATCAGACCAGTCTGAGGAATAACAGGCAACTCCAGTATCAGGTCAGTCTGAGGAATAACAGGTAACTCCTGTATCAGACCAGTCTGAGGAATAACAGGTAACTCCTGTATCAGACCAGTCTGAGGAATAACAGGTAACTCCTGTATCAGGTCAGTCTGGGAATAACAGGTAACTCCTGTATCAGGCCAGTCTGAGGAATAACAGGTAACTCCTGTATCAGGCCAGTCTGAGGAATAACAGGTAACTCCTGTATCAGGCCAGTCTGGGAATAACAGGTAACTCCTGTATCAGACCAGTCTGAGGAATAACAGGTAACTCCTGTATCAGACCAGTCTGAGGAATAACAGGTAACTCCTGTATCAGACCAGTCTGAGGAATAACAGGTAACTCCTGTATCAGACCAGTCTGAGGAATAACAGGTAACTCCTGTATCAGACCAGTCTGAGGAATAACAGGTAACTCCTGTATCAGACCAGTCTGAGGAATAACAGGTAACTCCTGTATCAGACCAGTCTGGGGAATAACAGGTAACTCCTGTATCAGACCAGTCTGAGGAATAACAGGTAACTCCTGTATCAGACCAGTCTGAGGAATAACAGGTAACTCCTGTATCAGGCCAGTCTGAGGAATAACAGGTAACTCCTGTATCAGACCAGTCTGAGGAATAACAGGTAACTCCTGTATCAGACCAGTCTGAGGAATAACAGGTAACTCCTGTATCAGACCAGTCTGAGGAATAACAGGTAACTCCTGTATCAGGTCAGTCTGAGGAATAACAGGTAACTCCTGTATCAGGCCAGTCTGAGGAATAACAGGTAACTCCTGTATCAGGTCAGTCTGAGGAATAACAGGTAACTCCTGTATCAGGTCAGTCTGAGGAATAACAGGTAACTCCTGTATCAGACCAGTCTGAGGAATAACAGGTAACTCCTGTATCAGGTCAGTCTGAGGAATAACAGGTAACTCCTGTATCAGGTCAGTCTGAGGAATAACAGGTAACTCCTGTATCAGACCAGTCTGGGGAATAACAGGTAACTCCTGTATCAGACCAGTCTGAGGAATAACAGGCAACTCCTGTATCAGACCAGTCTGGGGAATAACAGGTAACTCCTGTATCAGACCAGTCTGGGGAATAACAGGTAACTCCTGTATCAGGTCAGTCTGAGGAATAACAGGCAACTCCTGTATCAGACCAGTCTGAGGAATAACAGGTAACTCCTGTATCAGACCAGTCTGGGGAATAACAGGTAACTCCTGTATCAGGTCAGTCTGAGGAATAACAGGTAACTCCTGTATCAGGTCAGTCTGAGGAATAACAGGCAACTCCTGTATCAGACCAGTCTGAGGAATAACAGGTAACTCCTGTATCAGGTCAGTCTGAGGAATAACAGGTAACTCCTGTATCAGACCAGTCTGGGGAATAACAGGTAACTCCTGTATCAGGTCAGTCTGAGGAATAACAGGTAACTCCTGTATCAGGTCAGTCTGAGGAATAACAGGTAACTCCTGTATCAGACCAGTCTGAGGAATAACAGGTAACTCCTGTATCAGGTCAGTCTGAGGAATAACAGGTAACTCCTGTATCAGACCAGTCTGAGGAATAACAGGTAACTCCTGTATCAGACCAGTCTGAGGAATAACAGGCAACTCCTGTATCAGGCCAGTCTGGGAATAACAGGTAACTCCTGTATCAGACCAGTCTGAGGAATAACAGGTAACTCCTGTATCAGACCAGTCTGAGGAATAACAGGTAACTCCTGTATCAGACCAGTCTGAGGAATAACAGGTAACTCCTGTATCAGACCAGTCTGAGGAATAACAGGTAACTCCTGTATCAGACCAGTCTGAGGAATAACAGGTAACTCCTGTATCAGACCAGTCTGAGGAATAACAGGTAACTCCTGTATCAGACCAGTCTGAGGAATAACAGGTAACTCCTGTATCAGACCAGTCTGAGGAATAACAGGTAACTCCTGTATCAGGCCAGTCTGGGAATAACAGGTAACTCCTGTATCAGACCAGTCTGAGGAATAACAGGTAACTCCTGTATCAGACCAGTCTGAGGAATAACAGGTAACTCCTGTATCAGACCAGTCTGAGGAATAACAGGTAACTCCTGTATCAGACCAGTCTGAGGAATAACAGGTAACTCCTGTATCAGACCAGTCTGGGGAATAACAGGTAACTCCTGTATCAGACCAGTCTGAGGAATAACAGGTAACTCCTGTATCAGACCAGTCTGAGGAATAACAGGTAACTCCTGTATCAGACCAGTCTGAGGAATAACAGGTAACTCCTGTATCAGACCAGTCTGAGGAATAACAGGTAACTCCTGTATCAGACCAGTCTGAGGAATAACAGGTAACTCCTGTATCAGACCAGTCTGAGGAATAACAGGTAACTCCTGTATCAGACCAGTCTGGGGAATAACAGGTAACTCCTGTATCAGACCAGTCTGAGGAATAACAGGTAACTCCTGTATCAGGCCAGTCTGAGGAATAACAGGTAACTCCTGTATCAGACCAGTCTGAGGAATAACAGGTAACTCCTGTATCAGACCAGTCTGAGGAATAACAGGTAACTCCTGTATCAGACCAGTCTGAGGAATAACAGGTAACTCCTGTATCAGACCAGTCTGAGGAATAACAGGTAACTCCTGTATCAGGCCAGTCTGAGGAATAACAGGTAACTCCTGTATCAGACCAGTCTGAGGAATAACAGGTAACTCCTGTATCAGACCAGTCTGAGGAATAACAGGTAACTCCTGTATCAGACCAGTCTGAGGAATAACAGGTAACTCCTGTATCAGACCAGTCTGAGGAATAACAGGTAACTCCTGTATCAGACCAGTCTGAGGAATAACAGGTAACTCCTGTATCAGACCAGTCTGAGGAATAACAGGTAACTCCTGTATCAGACCAGTCTGAGGAATAACAGGTAACTCCTGTATCAGACCAGTCTGAGGAATAACAGGTAACTCCTGTATCAGACCAGTCTGGGAATAACAGGTAACTCCTGTATCAGGTCAGTCTGAGGAATAACAGGTAACTCCTGTATCAGGTCAGTCTGAGGAATAACAGGTAACTCCTGTATCAGGTCAGTCTGAGGAATAACAGGTAACTCCTGTATCAGACCAGTCTGGGAATAACAGGTAACTCCTGTATCAGACCAGTCTGAGGAATAACAGGTAACTCCTGTATCAGACCAGTCTGAGGAATAACAGGTAACTCCTGTATCAGACCAGTCTGAGGAATAACAGGTAACTCCAGTATCAGACCAGTCTGAGGAATAACAGGTAACTCCTGTATCAGGTCAGTCTGAGGAATAACAGGTAACTCCTGTATCAGGTCAGTCTGAGGAATAACAGGTAACTCCTGTATCAGACCAGTCTGAGGAATAACAGGTAACTCCTGTATCAGACCAGTCTGAGGAATAACAGGTAACTCCTGTATCAGACCAGTCTGAGGAATAACAGGTAACTCCTGTATCAGACCAGTCTGAGGAATAACAGGTAACTCCTGTATCAGGCCAGTCTGAGGAATAACAGGTAACTCCTGTATCAGACCAGTCTGAGGAATAACAGGTAACTCCTGTATCAGACCAGTCTGAGGAATAACAGGTAACTCCTGTATCAGACCAGTCTGGGGAATAACAGGTAACTCCTGTATCAGGTCAGTCTGAGGAATAACAGGTAACTCCTGTATCAGGTCAGTCTGAGGAATAACAGGTAACTCCTGTATCAGGTCAGTCTGAGGAATAACAGGTAACTCCTGTATCAGACCAGTCTGAGGAATAACAGGTAACTCCTGTATCAGACCAGTCTGAGGAATAACAGGTAACTCCTGTATCAGACCAGTCTGAGGAATAACAGGTAACTCCTGTATCAGACCAGTCTGAGGAATAACAGGTAACTCCTGTATCAGGTCAGTCTGAGGAATAACAGGTAACTCCTGTATCAGGTCAGTCTGAGGAATAACAGGTAACTCCTGTATCAGACCAGTCTGGGGAATAACAGGCAACTCCTGTATCAGACCAGTCTGAGGAATAACAGGTAACTCCTGTATCAGACCAGTCTGAGGAATAACAGGTAACTCCTGTATCAGACCAGTCTGAGGAATAACAGGTAACTCCTGTATCAGGTCAGTCTGAGGAATAACAGGTAACTCCTGTATCAGACCAGTCTGAGGAATAACAGGCAACTCCTGTATCAGACCAGTCTGAGGAATAACAGGTAACTCCTGTATCAGACCAGTCTGGGGAATAACAGGTAACTCCTGTATCAGACCAGTCTGAGGAATAACAGGTAACTCCTGTATCAGACCAGTCTGAGGAATAACAGGTAACTCCAGTATCAGACCAGTCTGAGGAATAACAGGTAACTCCTGTATCAGGCCAGTCTGAGGAATAACAGGTAACTCCTGTATCAGACCAGTCTGAGGAATAACAGGTAACTCCTGTATCAGACCAGTCTGAGGAATAACAGGTAACTCCTGTATCAGGTCAGTCTGGGGAATAACAGGTAACTCCTGTATCAGACCAGTCTGGGGAATAACAGGTAACTCCTGTATCAGGTCAGTCTGAGGAATAACAGGCAACTCCTGTATCAGGCCAGTCTGAGGAATAACAGGTAACTCCTGTATCAGCCAGTCTGAGGAATAACAGGTAACTCCTGTATCAGACCAGTCTGAGGAAAACAGGTAACTCCTGTATCAGAACTGGGGAATAACAGCAACTGGCCTCAACTACAGTGTTTTTCTGACATAAACTGTAGAGGACACAATACACACAATACACACATGTTGTTGGAGCACACATCAGGTGATATCTCCGAAACTGAGGACAACTACAGTAGTTGCCGAAAAGTAGAACACGGGCAACTGACTGAATCCAGAGATCGACTGTTTATCTCCAGTTGTAAGAGCGCTCACATCGACTGATTTCAACTGATCATCTCCATCATCTCCATCATCTTCATCATCTTCATCATCTACTCTCAGTCGCCAAAAGCCGCCTTGAAACTGTTGTCTCCAGTTACTCTGTCCATGTACGCCAGGCTTAAAGGGTTCATATCCTTGATCCCGCAACAGTTTTTGTATTTCTATCTTTGGGGGCTGAGCAGCATTTTAGTCTAATCTCATCTCATGTATGAAATATAACTTAATAGAAAATGATCCTTGTGCATTGCCCTACAGCTGTTGACGCGATAAGTGTCATGATACAAATGTCACTATACATGATTATGATTTGGCCATACTGTGATTATCCATAGTTTCTCAGTATAATTGTCAACGATATATACAGTATATAGTGAGGTATAATAAAACCAATTAGTATTTGTTATGAATACGGCTCTGGTTATTTTTTTTTTTAGATTTTAAGTGGGAAAGAATTGCGATTTTAGTATATATTACAGTTAGTCGTATCCATATGTCTTGACAAGAGCTGCGGAGGAGAGTTGAGTGTGTTTGGCAGGTGGTCTTTCAAAGTGCATGTGTTGCGGTGATCCCCAGTGTTAATATTTGTTTGCAATATTTTGGACAGAACTAATCACAACATATACCAACAATAGTTTTAACATCCTTACAATAGACTATTTTTGCATGCCTCTTTATACTTTTTAATCTTAAGCACATCTGACACAGTATTTACGAATATCCCTCGGGTTCTGACGTCACCCATAACTTTCATGCGAAGCACAGAATGGCTAACGGCTGCTGGGCTATTTTAGCAACCGACCTGTGCACAAACAAAAGGAAAATTAAGACTTCTTGACGTTCCAATTACTAATGTTTCCGCTGCCAGTCTGATTTTGGACCACCTTGTGAACGCCTTGGAATCCGGCCTGACATTAACAGTTCTTAATTAAATCACACGTGTCTCACAAGGCTTTACAAATCCCCCACTCGTTTTTAAAGCTCTATTTAAAGCAGCACTAAGCGAAGACGTATCCGAGCGAGGATGTTCCAGCTAAACTCCCTGGACAGTCCCACACACCGAATACATTTTCATTTCCTTTCAGTCACTTTTTTCCCGTTTTTTCAAGCGACTGTATATGCACTGACAGGATTTTCTGTCAGGGTAGTTATGGAAAGTAAAATAATCCATGTTCCAACATTGCATTCCTTCTGCAAAATACTAATAATAATAAGTCGTTTTTGCTTCATCCACACAAATATCAGGAACAAAACGGCTCCCAAACACGTCTACTCAGTAATCCTGACAAAACAGGTGAAAGATAGAATATTCTTCAGAAGGTCGATTTACCTCTATAAATGATGATTAGGGCTCTAAAGTATGTTTAAAAAATATTCTGAGCCACTTATCAACATAATACCAAATAAAGACTTGATATACATCACTTTGAGTGTCTGTTATGCATTAATGTCACATTGTTTATGGAATTTCAGAAATAAATGGACTTTTAAACGTTTTCGAACTTATCTAATTTTCATATTTACCTCAGCTGATTTACTTGATGATATAGATATTATCATCATCATAATCATCATCACACTTTTATTACAGACTCGTGGTCCAGGATAAGACAAACACATCACATAAATACATAAGCCTCACGTCTCAGAGCAGACAGCTGCACCAGTGTCTCCACAGATCTGACTGCCACCGCCTGCCACTGAAATCCACAGTTGTCAGGCTTTTGATTATAATACTGTGGCTTTGATTGAGCCGACAGATAAAACTGTACATCAGACATCAAATGGCCTGAAATCTCCTGATTCCACAAAGTACCTGCACTTCACATCTTGGCCTTTTCAACCAAATCTTCAAGCACTCGTTCTGTGCCACATTGAGTTTGCGAATGGTTGCTTTTTTGTTTTTGGTCCACAAGTTGCACAGCACACTTGGTACGACCACATTAGTCCTGACTAGAACCAGGAAGTACGACCACATTAGTCCTGACTAGAACCAGGAAGTACGACCACATTAGTCCTGACTAGAACCAGGAAGTACGACCACATTAGTCCAGTTCTCAGGTCTCTGCACTGGCTTCCTGTGGCTCAGAGAATAGACTTTATTCTCTCTCCATGGCCTCGCACCAAAATATATTAGTGACATGTTAGTCCCATATGAACCAGCCCGGACTCTGAGGAGCACAGGGACTGGACTCCTGCTGGGACTCTGAGGAGCACAGGGACTGGCCTCCTGCTGGGACTCTGAGGAGCACAGGGACTGGACTCCTGCTGGGACTCTGAGGAGCACAGGGACTGGACTCCTGCTGGGACTCTGAGGAGCACAGGGACTGGACTCCTGTTAGTGCCCAGAGTCAGAACTAAACATGGGGAGGCTGCTTTTCAGATTCATGCTGCTAAAATCTGGAACAGTCTTCCTGAAGATGTGAGACAGGCCTCCTCTCTGACAATGTTTAAAACCAGGTTAAAGACAGTTCTGTTTAGCTGTGCTACAACTGAGGGATTTTATCTCCATTTTAAATGCACTGTGGTTATTTTTTTTATTATTCCTTGTGTAATTTGAAAGTTTTAATGGTTTTAATTTCTTGTGTGATTTTAATGTTTTAATTGTGATTCTGGTGTTTGTTTTATGTGATGATTTGTGCCTTGGATGATGTGGACTGTGAAGCGCTAAACTTTGACTGACAGTGACGAACAGTATGCTTCAAAAAGTGTCTTTTTCCCCTGCGCTGTACAAGCACCAAACCTGCGCAGGAGCATGTTCTTCTGAGGCATTACTACACTGCCCAAGTATTTATGTTTGAAACATACAGTTAGTTCAACACCACACAATTTAAATAGAGGAAAGTTTACATTTACATCATATTTTGTTCTACATAACATAATTATACTTATTAAACCTTTCATTCAGATCTACACCAAACTCAGAGCAGACATTGAGACGGTCCTGTAGTCGTCCGCACACATCAGATGATTCACTTGGATTGTCCCGATCATACACATGCATTTAACGCTATGGATCATTCATATTCAGGGAGAATAAAACCATTATGAGAGTTAATGAGACAAAGACATTACAACTTTTTTATTAGTTAATTAGGCCAGATATATAAATATGACTATTTATAATTGTATATATCTGTCTATTGTCTGTTTTCTGTGTATTCTCTACTCATGGTCACCTGCATTTCCTCTTGTTAACATAAAGTATCTACCAATCAAAGAGTTTTGTGTAATCTAAAACTACTCTTATCTATCAAAGCACATGCTCCCAATCGGGCTTTCATGGCAGGTGTTCTTGTATCCTGGACGTGGAAGTTTCAACAAGAAGATTATGAAGAAGACACAATAATAATAATAATAATAATAGTAATGATAAGAGTGTAGAAGCAGACATTGTTCCAGACGTGCTGGCAGACCTGCAGAGACAGCTGGTCTCGTATGAAAACGTGACGTGGAGCACATTTTCAAAGTCCCTCTAAACTCCTGCTGTTAAACTGTTGTGGCATTTTTGACAGCAATTATTTCCAAGCAGCGCAGCAGAAAATTAGCGTAAAAATGGCCCCGAACGGGATGACTTTTTTCTCCTGTTGAAATAAAGACTTCTCACATCAGCGGCTGCACAAATGACACAGACGCTCCCTGTTGGGCCACAAAGGCACTCCAAAGGGACAGGCCGCTCCAAAGGGACAGGCCGCCCCAAAGGGACAGGCCGCTGCAGGGACAGGCCGCTCCAAAGGGACAGGCCGCCCCAAAGGGACAGGCCGCTCCAAAGGGACAGGCCGCTGCAGGGACAGGCCGCTCCAAAGGGACAGGCCGCTCCAAAGGGACAGGCCGCTGCAGGGACAGGCCGCTGAAGGGACAGGCCGCTCCAAAGGGACAGGCCGCCCCAAAGGGACAGGCCGCTCCAAAAGGACAGGCCGCTCCAAAGGGACAGGCCGCCCCAAAGGGACAGGCCGCTGAAGGGACAGGCCGCTCCAAAGGGACAGGCCGCTGCAGAGACAGGCCGCTCCAAAGGGACAGGCCGCTCCAAAAGGACAGGCCGCTCCAAAGGGACAGGCCGCTCCAAAGGGACAGGCCGCTGAAGGGACAGGCCGCTCCAAAGGAACAGGCCGCTCCAAAAGGACAGGCCGCTGCAGGGACAGGCCGCTCCAAAGGGACAGGCCGCTCCAAAGGGACAGGCCGCTCCAAAAGGACAGGCCGCTCCAAAGGGACAGGCCGCTGAAGGGACAGGCCGCTCCAAAGGGACAGGCCGCTCCAAAAGGACAGGCCGCTCCAAAAGGACAGGCCGCTCCAAAGGGACAGGCCGCTGCAGGGACAGGCCGCTGCAGGGACAGGCCGCTCCAAAGGGACAGGCCGCTCCAAAAGGACAGGCCGCTCCAAAGGGACAGGCCGCTCCAAAAGGACAGGCCGCTGCAGGGACAGGCCGCTCCAAAGGGACAGGCCGCTCCAAAAGGACAGGCCGCTCCAAAGGGACAGGCCGCTCCAAAGGGACAGGCCGCTGCAGGGACAGGCCGCTCCAAAAGGACAGGCCGCTCCAAAGGGACAGGCCGCTCCAAAAGGACAGGCCGCTCCAAAAGGACAGGCCGCTCCAAAGGGACAGGCCGCTCCAAAGGGACAGGCCGCTGCAGGGACAGGCCGCTGCAGGGACAGGCCGCTGCAGGGACAGGCCGCTCCAAAAGGACAGGCCGCTCCAAAGGGACAGGCCGCTCCAAAAGGACAGGCCGCTCCAAAAGGACAGGCCGCTGCAGGGACAGGCCGCTGCAGGGACAGGCCGCTCCAAAGGGACAGGCCGCTGCAGGGACAGGCCGCTGCAGGGACAGGCCGCTCCAAAGGGACAGGCCGCTGCAGGGACAGGCCGCTGCAGGGACAGGCCGCTCCAAAGGGACAGGCCGCTGCAGGGACAGCCCGCTGCAGGGACAGGCCGCTGCAGGGACAGGCCGCTCCAAAGGGACAGGCCGCTGCAGAGACAGGCCGCTGCAGAGACAGGCCGCTGCAGGGACAGGCCGCTGCAGAGACAGGCCGCTGCAGGGACAGGCCGCTGCAGGGACAGGCCGCTGCAGGGACAGCCCGCTGCAGGGACAGGCCGCTGCAGGGACAGGCCGCTGCAGGGACAGGCCGCTCCAAAGGGACAGGCCGCTGCAGAGACAGGCCGCTGCAGAGACAGGCCGCTGCAGGGACAGGCCGCTGCAGGGACAGGCCGCTGCAGGGACATGCTCATCAAAAACACACCTGGAGTTGTTTTTAAAGTCATCCATGCTAATGTCATAATCCTCTGTGGAATAAAAAGTATGTCTCCTGGCGCCTGATGAAAAACATTCAATTAATCAGAAAGAGCCTTGTAAAAGTATAATGTTGTAAAAAAAAAAATACATCATACAGTCTTAATCTTATTAGAATCAATCACTCAAATTGTATTTATAAAACACTAAATACAAGTAATGCAACACAATGTTCTTTGATGGTTCCATGTTGTGATAAGTGGGTTTAACAGTCAAAGTTTTGTGTAAAGTTTGGACTCTTAAAACCCACATTTCTCAAACCATCAACATCTCGCCTCAGAATCTACATTTGTGTCTTAATTTAAAAGCAGGGAGGAGGGACCTGCGAAACCTCTGAAGCTCATGATAACGGAACAAACATACGTTATGCTGAATATTTCTTGAATATATGAAACCCACAATAGTCATCGTAGCTTGAACAGCCCTTCCCCAACTCAGCGACCAGTGCTCTGTTTGTGTTCTTGGAGGCACTTTTGACAAACGGCTGGCTCGGAATGCGTGGATTAGTCAGAGTTTAGCAGACAGCGCGGGGATACTGTGCCACAGGGAGAGACATTTTCTTACAATGAAGGATTAGTGCGCTCTTTTGTGGGGAAATATTCTGTTCTGCAGCCGGCAGCAGAGAAATGGTGGAGTTTGGGAAATGCCAAATCCTCATTGAGGCAGAATTAAAGTATTGTTCGCTCATAATCTTCTCAGAGGACATACATTGTGCTTTCCTGACTCTTTCCTCGTTCACCTTGTAAAGTGCTATCACGGTCACACCTGCACCTGTTGTCTGCTGCTTTGTGGGAGTTCTAGTGTGACAAAGCCTAGTTATTATTGCTTGTGACTTTAGAGGGGGCTGTTTAATCTTTATGTAGTGCAAGAGATGAGTAGGTCTGACTGACAAAAAAATTCAAATGACCGGGCTCTCTTTTTTATTTCCCCTTTTGAAGTCACTCAGTCATGTATGCAATAGAAAAATAACATTGATAATACATGTCGCTAGTTATGTCATGTTTATTTATCGCCTTTCACAGACCAGAGTCACAAAGCGCTTTACAATTGTTGTTTTTTAGGCACCTCACTCCACACAGAGATGGGAGCGAGGGTACCTGTACATATTTCTCAAAAGTTTAATTGGGGTGTCCTGCAGGGGGCGCTTATCTGGGAAAGCCTTGATCCACCTCGCCCGCCTCATTGATTTTTTCTAAGTGTCCTCCTTTATATGAGACCACAGTTGGAACATGAACAAACTCTGGTCTTTCTCTGTATTTGTGCGGTTGCTACAAGCGTACACCGCACAAAAAGATGGTGTTTTGACAGCGCTTCTTCTTCTACTATATCTATATACCGTGTATAAACCCAGCAGACTGCACCGCCAGGATACACCACGTCCAGTCCGGTCCTGTCCCACGCAGTGGGGGAGAGTCCCATCTCAAAAGTGGCCAAAATGACGTGCGCTGACACGCTGCAATACCACCCCGGGCCTGTGGGGGTGGACCCAGAAGTAGAATTAGCCAATGCTAACATATAGCATTGGCAGACCTCTCAAAAACGTCTTTACAGGATGGTCCAAAAGTTGGCTCTTGGCCCAAAGCTCCGTTCCACATGTGTGTCAATGCTGAGGGGGGTGTTCTGGACCAGTCTAGTTTACTTGCTGTGAATTTTTGAAGTCTCTCGTTCAAATGAATGGAGCTGCGCCGGCTGACGCATGCACAGATGCGTTTTTTCACAATTCTCTTGTGGGCGGGACCACTCGCGGCCATTTTGGATAGCTCCAGTAGAGCACTTTTTTTGGCCCATTAGTTAGAACGGCAGAGATAGGCGTGACTCTGTCCGTTAATATATACAGTCTATGGTCCCACGTATGTCATTCGTGCCACTGTCCCAACGTCACATGAAACCCAAGAATGGCACCTAATGAAGCTAAAGCGAAGGTTCAGACTGGACGACTGAAGAACTAAGCTCACAGGGCTTTGACTTCGAAGCTCGATATTCAAATGGTGAAGTAGTGACGTAGCCCGTTGTGAGACAGTGTACCAACTACTCTCCGCAGTAATCTTAGTATTTTACTCACCTAAAATAGAAGCACAGAGTGCGTTGCCAAAGGGCTGCGGCCATTGTTGGTTTGAGAGACAGTTATGAAGAAACAATGATCGGTAGAACGTTTTGAAATTACATTCTTCTGCTGTGAGGAGCTGTGTAATAAGTTATGATTAAATATTTAAATATATTCGAAAATATTCAAATATATTCAATTAATAAACAAACAAACATGGAAAATGATTTTTTGCAAAAGTCAAAGCCCTAGCTCAAAGTCCTCCCACTGTTGCTCACGGCAACAGCCATCATTCAATCACACGCACAATTCTCAGGCACTGCCCCGCACCAAGGTTCATATCACGAGGGAGCTCCATCCAAGTAGCAGCTTCATTCATTCGTGCCACAACCCTCCTCCTCCCCATCTCTGCCTCGTTCCAGGCCAGTTCTTTCATCCTTCTCGTGAGATACCACCACCAGGGTCGAGGCCCCGGAGGATTTCATCTGATAATCTCTGCGATCTCTTCTGGAATCATGCAGTGCTCTGCCGGGGTCTAAGCGCCAAATCCTCACCACATGATGTACAGAATGTGATCTTGAAAATATAGGAGTCATATGTGTAATTTATGTAGTCTCAGATTACTCGACAACCAATATACAATTCTAATAATACCCATGTTTGGTCTGTGTGAGTCTCTCCAGATTGAATTGCTGTAGTTGAACAACGTGGCTTTATGTGCATGCTAAAAACACTTCCCCGATACATTACTTTGGGATGAAAGAACTCCAGCGACTGTACACTACTTGTTTGGGACAAAAGTTATCAATGTCTTTCAAACAATAGTGTGAAATGATCAGTACATTGTATCTGCCTGATCTTCTGGCTGAATCTGATTTGTAGTGGAGGCTGATAACCATATGGAACCGTGTGTGCGTCTGTCTGTGTGTGTGTGCGTCTGTGTGTGTGTGCGTCTGTGTGTGTGTGTGTGCGTCTGTGTGTGCGTCTGTGTGTGTGTGTGTGTCTGCGAGTGTGTGCGTGTGTGTGTGTGTGTGTGTGTGTGTGTGTGCGCGTCTGTGTGTGTGCGTCTGTGTGTGTGCGCGTCTGTGTGTGTGTGTGTGCGTCTATGTGTGTGTGTGTGTGTGTGTGTGCGTCTGTGTGTGCGTGTGCGTGTGTGTGCGTCTGTGTGTGTGTGTGTGTGTGCGTGTGTGTGCGTCTGTGTGTGTGTGTGTGTGTGTGTGTGTGTGTCTGTGTGTGTGTGTGTGTGTGCGTCTGTGTGTGTGCGTCTGTGTGTGTGTGTGTGTGCGTCTGTGTGTGTGTGTGTGCGTCTGTGTGTGTGTGCGTGCGTGTGCGTCTGTGTGTGTATGTGTGCGTGCGTCTGTGTGCGTGTGTGTGTGAGTCTGTGTGTGTGTGTGTGTGTGTGAGTGAGTCTGTGTGTGTGTGTGTGTGTGCGTCTGTGTGTGTGTGTGTGTGTGTGCGTCTGTGTGTGTGTGTGTGTGTGTGCGTGCGTGTGTGTGCGTTTGAACAGTATTAATGATACAAAATAATCAGGTTCTTCATCACAATGATTTTAAAGTCAAGTGCTGTTCTCGTTGACCTTTTTATTCTTTGTCTGCGACGCATTAAGGCCTTTTGTTATGTATAAAAACATGTATACACAGTGTCAATCCAAGAGTGTGTTAGATTATGGTTACATTACAGACCAAAGAATACTGAGAGCAGGGAGCGGTGCAGAATAATGGGCCACATGTCCGAGAATGTCCAAGCGCTTCCATTATGTATCCACAGAAGATGAGAGAGGTTCATCGCAGACAAACCCCCACAGAGATCATTATGACCAGGCTTCTTAAAGACCCTCTGACCGCCACTCTAAAAGCAGACTCAAAGATTGATCCTAAGAAAGTTTATTTGTAATAGTTACGGTGCGATTGCATAACTCAGCAACGAATACTTGATTTTATAAACTGGAATAACAAAAAGGTCTTTCATTTTAGAGATCTTCTGATTTTTTTTGTTTTTTTAACTACTGGCAATATGTTTCCATGGTAACTTGGACCTCTCAGGATATTGACCACATGATTTATTTTACTCCCAAAAATGACTCCAAAACATCCATCCATTTTCTTCCCCTTAATCCTTTAAGACCACTGCTCTACCAACTGCACTGTCACTCCAAAACATAATAAGTTTTAAATAAACTCATTTTTTAACCAGTCTGCAGCTCTCAGCAATAATTATCTTTGGTCCAGTTCTGTTTAAAACCAAACCTAACCACAGCACTTTCCAAAGATTATCCAAACTACCAAAATATTATCAAAATACCATTTTGTAATGTAAGGTAATTGCACCACAAATACAAAAGTTTGCTGGAAAGTTTCCTGAAAACCCACATTGGTCAATCTCCAGCAAATGTTAGCTATATTTAGAGATCTTTGTGTTAAGGATTCATTTTGGCCCTAAATGTATCTCAGGTTTTCAAACTGGAAAAGTCAATACATGGAGAAACTATGTGTTGTGAAAACGAGAAAAAACACAGCTTTACTCAGAGCTACTTTGAAGACAATGGTTCAAAACCGGAAAAAGTATCATATAAACTTTATCTAAAATATTTAAGAGGTGAGACCTGATGGAGGGTCTTGTGTTGCAGATAAAAGGGCCCCTGCTGATGAGAGAACCATGATCACTTGGGTTTGGCTTGGCTTGTATCCATACTCCATACTACTAATTGCGTTCTAATGGGCTAGCATAGACTGCAGAAGGAGTAGGCAGAGACCGAGTGCTTCACCCGGAGTGTTCGTGAGGCCTGAAGAAGCCCATTTGAACAGCCTCTAGATGAACCCATGTTCCTTTTATGGTGTACTTGTTATGATGGGCAGACCTATGCGCTGTAGCAGGGACAGATGCTTTCTAACGTTGAGCTGAGGTAAGCTGGAGTTTATCCCTGGCAAATGAAATCAAATGGCTCGTATATGGATTTACAAATATCAAATGCCACCGGCCGACTGATAGATTGGCTTTCTGTACTTGTTAAGAATGGATTAACTGCAAACGTCTCTGATGTATTTGTTGACATTGTCTGAATAAAAAGACAAGACATTTATCAATTGAAATAAAAATGTAAAGATTTGTTCAAGAGTCAAAACTCCACGCAAGATACTTCTCTCATTTTAGCTTGTGTCAAAGTGTTTCTTTTTGCTTAAACGTTCCACTCTTTGCTAAATGTGATTAATCGTGCGACCCTTAGTGGCTGTATTTGCCTTAACTGAAGTCATGTCTGTTTGTGTCTTTAGGTAAGTTCCTGAATCCTCCTCCTCTGTGCAGTGGGGTCTGGGTTTACCATGTGCTGCCCACAGTAAGACCGTCTTTCGCTTTCTTCCTGCTGGTTTTGTGCTTTGAGAGTTTATTTGAATCTAGTCTTGTAGCAATAACTTTTGATACTGAGTCAAAACAACCTTATGGTTTTCTTTAAATATTGTATTCTTTTCTGCCTCCAAATTACAGCAACCAATAACAGTCGACTTTAAACCAGCCCAAATACATTCCTCACTTTCTCACATGTTCCTGCACAATTTTTAAGATTTCAAATGAGTCAGTTCCACACAATCGCAACTTGAAAGAAAGAGCCACATGAGTCACTGGCTGCAGCAAAGAATATGTCCTTCTTTAGCCTCCCTTTTCCTTGTGCTTTAAAACTGATATTCTGTGAAAGAGACTTGCTCCTAGGTCAGTTCTGGCTCCTAAACTAACGAGCACAAGAGGGCCACGCCAAATAATGTAAAGGCCAATTTATTGCAATCTCATTTTGTTTTTATTTAATGCTTGAGGAAAGATTATGGCAAATCAGAGGCTGGCTGTGGGCAAAGAGGGTCTCCCCAGAGGCATTTTCAATTAGACATTATTGGCAAATTTCAGATTCTACTGTGAATAACATCGGACTGGTCATTTGAAAGAGAGGTCACCTGAAATCCAGAATCTTTCCCTTTCCATGCCAGTTCATGTTCTGAGACACTGAGGAGGTCGATCATGATCCTATCGAACACGTTCTGCAGAAATGTGTTGCTGCAGATCACTCACCTCTCTTTGTGTCTTTGCTCTCCCAAGTCTGATCCTTATAATACTGTTTTCATACTATTTTCATACTACGACTGGAGCTGAAGGACCTATTTTTTTGGTTTTAGTGATGGGGACATTTGAGCACCCAGGCAAAACAGACCCGGGAAAACATGCTTCATTGTATATAATCAATATTAAACACATCAATAATTTTCTGAAAACCTTTTTTTGTTACTCACCCCACTTTCTCATTTCTGAGCGTACATGTTGAAAGGCTGACACAATCTTATTTATTATCAATATCCAAACAAAGGGCTTAAAACCATTAGTTTCTAGCCTCCACACTATCCATAAAGGCCCACCTTACCTCCGCCCAGGTTATGAGCGTCTACGTGAAGCGAGCAATGCACATGTCTCCTGTGGTGTGCTTCTAATGGGGTTTGTAAAGCCGGGAGCGCCACAAAGGGCCCGCAGCACACGATCGATGCAGCGCGCCGTTCACACTTTCCTCTCACTGTGCTATTGTGGTGCGCTGACTTTCAAAGATATAGCCAGCACACATAAAGGGCCTCTTGTGTCGGCCGTAAAAGCTAATGATATCATTCGGAGAGAAGGGGGTAATGGAGGGTGCCATAACGCGACTGCAGCGTTTGATGTTGCTGCTAGAATAAATAAGAGTGCAGTGCGTAAAGGGGGGAGATTGGTCCCAAATGAACACAGTAAGTAAAGAACAGTGGGTGTGTGGAGGTGATAAACGGGGGTTGTCGGAGCAATGGCGAAGGCGGGATGGTAAAAATATGTCATGAAAAAAGCAGAACACCGCTCACCACAGGTTGCAATGAGAATGGCAAATGCAATGGTACGCCGTTTAAAAACAAATATGAAGATTCGCAGTTGTTAATCACGCAAAAATAATCCAAACTAAATCCAAGACAATGGGCCTCATTCACGAACGGTTCTTAGGAACAGATTTGTACGTAAATCCTACTTACGAGGTTTTTACGAAGAAAGTGGCATTCACGAAGTTTTCTCGTAACCAGAATTTCTCTTGGGCAAGTACAAATCCTACGAGTCCTCAGGAGCACTTGTACGCATTCAGTGCCGACATGTTCACACGCCGGGGTTGTCCTCTTTGGTGAAGTTGAATAAAAATACAACATTCCAGTGATATGTCCGTCATATCGATGTATGTATTTATTTATTTGTAGTAATCTTTATTAGTAATCTTTATTTATATACCGCCTTTTTCACTGCAGATCTGGCCTACTTTTTAATTCATTTTGAAATGAAATGTGCCAACGCTTTATCAAATACATTGGAAATCTTGCCGTGTATTAGTGACCCCTTCCTATTTATAGGGGGCATTTCTTTATCCACGGGCCACAGAACAACGGCATATATACTGCTGCTGCAGGAGGTTACTGTGTCCGCGCTGAGTCTCTGCGCTGGTCTCTCCCATGGATCTATACGGGTCTGCACTGGTCTCTCCTATGGATCTATACAGGTCTGCACTGGTCTCTCCTATGGATCTATACGGGTCTGCACTGGTCTCTCCCATGGATCTATACGGGTCTGCACTGGTCTCTCCCATGGATCTAGACGGGTCTGCACTGGTCTCTATGGATCTATACAGGTCTGCACTGGTCTCTCCCATGGATCTATACTGGTCTGCACTGGTCTCTCCCATGGATCTATACGGGTCTGCACTGGTCTCTCCTATGGATCTAGACGGGTCTGCACTGGTCTCTCCCATGGATCTATACGGGTCTGCACTGGTCTCTCCCCTGGATCTATACGGGTCTGCACTGGTCTCTCCCATGGATCTAGACGGGTCTGCACTGGTCTCTCCTATGGATCTATACGGGTCTGCACTGGTCTCTACTATGGATCTATACGGGTCTGCACTGGTCTCTCCCATGGATCTAGACGGGTCTGCACTGGTCTCTCCCATGGATCTATACGGGTCTGCACTGGTCTCTCCCCTGGATCTATACGGGTCTGCACTGGTCTCTCCCATGGATCTATACGGGTCTGCACTGGTCTCTCCTATGGATCTATACGGGTCTGCGCTGGTCTCTCCCATGGATCTATACGGGTCTGCACTGGTCTCTCCTATGGATCTATACAGGTCTGCACTGGTCTCTCCTATGGATCTATACGGGTCTGCACTGGTCTCTCCCATGGATCTATACAGGTCTGCACTGGTCTCTCCCATGGATCTATACGGGTCTGCACTGGTCTCTCCTATGGATCTATACAGGTCTGCACTGGTCTCTCCTATGGATCTATACGGGTCTGCACTGGTCTCTCCCATGGATCTATACAGGTCTGCACTGGTCTCTCCCATGGATCTATACTGGTCTGCACTGGTCTCTCCCATGGATCTATACGGGTCTGCACTGGTCTCTCCTATGGATCTAGACGGGTCTGCACTGGTCTCTCCCATGGATCTATACGGGTCTGCACTGGTCTCTCCCCTGGATCTATACGGGTCTGCACTGGTCTCTCCCATGGATCTAGACGGGTCTGCACTGGTCTCTCCTATGGATCTATACGGGTCTGCACTGGTCTCTACTATGGATCTATACGGGTCTGCACTGGTCTCTCCCATGGATCTAGACGGGTCTGCACTGGTCTCTCCCATGGATCTATACGGGTCTGCACTGGTCTCTCCCCTGGATCTATACGGGTCTGCACTGGTCTCTCCCATGGATCTAGACGGGTCTGCACTGGTCTCTCCCATGGATCTATACGGGTCTGCACTGGTCTCTCCTATGGATCTATACGGGTCTGCACTGGTCTCTCCTATGGATCTATACGGGTCTGCACTGGTCTCTCCCATGGATCTATACGGGTCTGCACTGGTCTCTCCCATGGATCTATACAGGTCTGCACTGGTCTCTCCCATGGATCTATACGGGTCTGCACTGGTCTCTCCTATGGATCTATACGGGTCTGCACTGGTCTCTCCCATGGATCTAGACGGGTCTGCACTGGTCTCTCCCATGGCTCTAGACGGGTCTGCACTGGTCTCTCCATACGGGTCCGTGCTGCATGCTCCTGGATCCATACGGGTCCGCGCTGGTCTCTCAAGTCTGGTCTATGCGGTCTCTCTTCGGTCCGCGCTGGTCTCTGCGCACCGGTCTCTCCAGTCAGGTCACTACAGTCTACGCTGGTCTCTCAAGTCTGGTCTATGCGGTCTCTCTTCGGTCCGCTCTGGTTTCTGTGTGCTGGTCACTCCAGTCTCTCCTCGGGTCTGCATTGGTCTCAGCGCTGGTCCGCGCTGGATCTCCTCCCAGGGTCCAAAATATTTTGAGATTAATCTCAAAACATTTTGAGATTCATCTTTAAAATAATACATAATATATTTTAGGGACTGATATGTTACTCCACCCCTTCTGTCTAAAAGTTCAGTCTTGTCTTGTATGATGTCATTGTAAACTATGACATCACACATGCTCAGAGCAGTTTTCTTTATTATTGACAACAATGTTATATTGGCAAATCGACCACTTTGTACATTTCTCTGCGACGACTGCTGTTTTCCACCCATCCCTTTTCTTCCCCTTAGTCCAGGGGTGCTCAATACGTCGATCGCGATCTATCTATTCAATGGTAGATCGCGTTACATTGAATAAATACATTTACGTTTATGGATTTGTTTGTGGACAGAAATAATCAGAGTTTTGCGTTTTTTCACGCCACAGTATGCTCCAAAACAAAAACAACAAACAAAACGTGCGACCTCTGATCACTGAAGCATGGATCATACTGCCTTAAAAACTGTTCTCTGCTGCAGCGGTTCACAGCAGCGATCCTCGCTCCACGTCAGAGAGCAGCAAAGTGATCACGCACGCTCGAAAACAACCAAAACAGGACCAAACCAGGATCAAACCAGGATCAAACCAGGACTAACCCAGGGCTGAGGACTGGGGTCAATGCTTGTAAACATATGTCCTCACCATGAGTTTCTACTGTGACTGTGAGCGCTACAGAACCCCCGGCATCTGCATCAAAGCTCCGCCCACTTCTGTGTTTTTCCCCGACGATGTTTGGAATGTTATGAATGTGATTGCTAAACGCACATGTTCGTTTATGTGTGGATGCAAATTATTTCATAAATCATGCGGTTTTGCATGAACATCAACATACTTTGTAGATATAAAGAGTCCTCAATATATTTAGAAATAAATATATGTTTTGCATTTTTGTAGTAGGTAGATTATTTTGACTTGATCATTTAGTAGCTCGCATGCTGAAAAAGTGTGGGCACCCCTGTTCTAGTCCATTTCTAGGTCG